GCGGAAATTGATACCCGGAAGCAACAAGGAAGAATAAGAACTTTCCTCCTTGTTGCTTCTACAACACACTAAAAGAACAAAAGTGTTTTCTTTGATTTTGCTAAAGAATTGTTGATACCAATTCATTACAAGCATTATTTCCAATTCACGATCAATCAAAACCACTTGTCATTAAACACATTAAATAAGTCATCAACAGCAAGATCTCATCAGAAAATTCGTATTTGACATTTCCATTGTTTTGTTTAATTCGTATTGCTAATTTGGTGATTCCTCCATTTTTTTTGTTATTATGTAACATTGACAGCAGGATGTCATCAGAAACTTCATATCTGACATTTCCATTGCTTTGTTTAATTCATATAGATATTTTGGTATTTCCACCATTATTTTTCTTTTTTTGATTATCTAACATTGACAGCAAGATGTCATCAGAAAATTCGTATTTGACATTTCCACTGTTTTGTTTAATTCGTATTGCTAATTTGATGATTCCACCATTTTTTGTTATTATGTAACATTGACAGCAGGATGTCATCAGAAAATTCATATCTGACATCTCCAATGTTTTGTTTAATTCGTATTGCTAATTTGGTGTTTCCATCATTATTTTATCTAACATTGACAGCAAGATGTCATCAGAAAATTCGTATCTGACATTTCCATTGGTTTGTTTAACACATATTGACAATTTGTTAATCGCAAGATTAGGATGTTATTCGTGCCGAAAAGAAGGAATGTCAACAGAAAAAAAAAGTAAAGGGCAGAAAACAATAAGATCGGGTCGTTGGTATCCGCGACCTTTGACGTTCCCGTCGAGATATTATTATAATTGCATGCAGAAGAAGCGAAACATTGAATGTCCGCGATTGTTTATAATAGACTCTATCAGCGTTGTCCCACATTTTTCATCGGACGTTTATAGATTTCGAGTCGATCGCATTCTCTAAACACACAAATTTTCTGTAATTTGAAAATATTATATAATACGAAATAATGACAGTTGACATAAGTGACAGTCACTGTCAATATTTCACGAGTTTCGTTCGAATGAACTTGATTGCGTCAGGCTATTTGAACTAATAATTCCATTAATAAATAAAAAAAAAACAACTTCTTGACGAGTGTAATAATCACTCTTTAACTGTCACATTTACGAAAACAACCAAATTCTTTAAATCGCGCTCTTTAATTACCGTTTAATGACTAACAATTAATGTATATAAATAGTCAACGGACAAAACTAAAATCTTAATTACTTTTTGATAATTTGCTGTCAGTTAGTTTTAAACTGCTGTTAATAAATGTAATTTCAGTTAAGAGAACAAGAGAACCTAGTGTAAATGCGGGAGCGCTCAAATTACATAACAAGATAATCGAGCGAGTCTTTGACATTGAAATTCATTCTCATCATCATCTTCGGTTTCCAATTTTAAACGTCTCTTCAATAATAACATAATTGTTGTCTTCGCTTCTGTCGGACAACGATCTCGAGAGATTCTTGTTTTTTTTTCCAATAGTTTTATCTTGTTATTCCCATTGACTTGATGTTTATATTGAAAGGCAACTTTTCAATAAAAAAATTACTTCTTTCAGTTATAAAAACAGTTATTATAATATAATAATTAATTTATTTTGGAAATAACGAAAATTAAAATATTATAGGAAGACCTCGATTTACATTCGTATCGTAAGATACGAATAGCGCATGAATAATTCAATGAAAAATGTGCAAAAATTTAAATTAAACGCAACAATGAAAACGTTTTTCTTTTATGAAGTATTGTCATAATTGATAATTTGAAAACGATTGTAAACTTTTTGTTTTATGATTAACAACTGACATATAGAAGTACAGTCATAATTGACATTTTGCAAGCGATTATTGCCTTTTTGTTTCATGATTGTCAACTGACATATAGAAGTACTGTCATAATTGACATTTTGAAAGCAATTATTGACGTTTTTTCATGTGTCATTGCTTATCAATTTACATAACTACGTACTGTCACAATTGGCATTTTCAAAGCGATTGTTTACTATTTGTTTTGTGATTGTCAACTGACATATAGAAGTACAGTCATAATTGACATTTTTAAAACGATTGTTGCCTTTTTGTTTCATGATTGTCAACTGACATATAGAAGTACTGTCATAATTGATATTTTGAAAGCAATTATTGACGTTTTTTTATTTGTCATTGCTTATCAATTTACATAACTACGTACTGTCACAATTGGCATTTTCAAAGCGATTGTTGACTTTTTGTTTTGTGATTGTCAACTGACATATAGAAGTACAGTCATAATTGACGTTTTGAAAACGATTTTTGCCTTTTTGTTTTATGATTAACAACTGACATATAGAAGTACTGTCATAATTGACATTTTGAAAGCAATTATTGACGTTGTTTCATTTGTCATTGCTTATCAATTTACATAACTACGTACTGTCACATAGAAGTCATATTTGACAGTCATAATTGACATTTTGAAAAAATTGTTAACTTTTGTTTTTGATTGTCAACTGACATATAGAAGTACAGTCATAATTGAATTTTGAAAACGATTGTGATTAACAACTGACATATAGAAGTACAGTCATAATTGACATTTCGAAAGCGATTGTTGCCTTTTTGTTTCATGATTGTCAACTGACATATAGAAGTACTGTCATAATTGACATTTTGAAAGCAATTATTGACGTTTTTTATGTGTCATTACTTATCAATTTACATAACTAAGTACTGTCATAATTGTCTATCAAAGCGATATGCAGTTACTCATGCATTAAGCTTAGCGAAATGACTTAAAGTTGGGCGCAAAGAAACTAATGATGATAATAAAAATAATAACTCACCTAAGTACGTATGCGTCGACGTGATCGTTTCTCACGGAGCTGATTATCTCGCACCGCACAATTTTCAGCAGAGATTCGAGTTGGTTCCTGAAACATAATTGAACAATTGTTATTACACTCACGTCCGCCTTCATTAATACACTTAATTGATAGGAATAAAATAAAGAGAAACCCGTAAATTAAATCTATACTAATGCTCCAATCTAATCTCTATTGCTTTTTTCCACGCTCGAGGTGGAATAGTTTTCGGGTTCGTCGCCTAAATGTAATCAACATTTTGGCGCGCGGAAACTGCGAACTTCGAACTTCAGGAAACGATTGCAGTTCTGCGAAAATTGCACTCTTCTTTTCCTCACAATCTTAACGACTTTACTTAAGCACTATTGCTTTGTTTTGATTGAGTCTTATCGAAATTTTCATTTATGCGAATATTACAATAACATTTTTTTTTTGTTAATAAATAAAACTGTTTGCTTTGCACTGTGAAAGAGTCCGATTGAAAATATTTTATCGAGAAATGCATGTTGCATAAAAATGAAATAATGTGATTAAATTTAGTGCTTATAGGAAGGAAAACATAGAATGTAGGTCAAATTAGTATCAGTGTGTAGTCATCGATAAAATCGTCGTAGGCGAAATTTTTCCAGAAGCGGAAACATCTTCGGCGTTATTGAGAATGGTGCACGGTTTTGCTATTACAATCTCGAGTTTCTCTGATAAGATTCAAAGTAAATATGTGAAAAATAAAAAAAAATGTATTAAAGGAAGAAAAAAAAAATAGAGGAAGAAGTGTACAAATAAATGTACAGAGTGTTTCCGTTTTGTTTACATTTCGATGATCAGCTGATTGGCCCCGGTGCGAATGCGGTAGGCGGATCTCCGGTTGCTATGGTGATGTGCGGGTGGTTGTTTGAGTGTGCATGCGTTTCGGGGCTTGTGGGGAAAAATCGATTGAGCCAGGAAAAACTTACCTAGGGATTTTCCGCAGGTCGGCCCCGTTGGATTTGCCGGCCGCCTGATCGGAGGTCGTGAACCAGATCTCCAGGAGTTTCTCGACGCCCTCGAAGAAGCATTCCTCGTTCGAAGCCATCGTCGTCCGTTCTTGTTGTTTTGACACCTCGATATGTATGTATATATATACCTGTGTGCGAGTGTCTTACGTTTACTCGAACTCGTTCGTCCTCCTCTTCTATCTGTCTGTTTCGCTTGATGAACGTCGCGGAACACTGTCCTCCTTCTGCCGCGCACTTTTACTGAATGACTACTGCCCGTCACAGCACAGCACCAGACCCAGACGAAACTACATTTTCTGCTGGCTATTTAACGAGCGAATGCGCGCGCTCACGCATAACACACACACACAAAAACACGCCGAAAGAGATTCGAACGGACGTAATCATCCATCCAGCATTACGATATCATCGCAATCTCGAATGGTCATCATCCTCATCATCAAAGATCACCACCGACAAACCTTGACATCTGTCACCTTTGAAACGTCGTGACAATTGAGTGGATCGAATCAAGATGTCTTTAGCTGAAACAAAGAACGTTATTAACACATACTTGCACTTCACTCAACAATCACATGACAACTTCCTAATTGATTACTTCTGAATACTTTTGACGATGTCAAATCGGTGTCAAAAAAACGATTTTGTTTTGCCGCCATATTCCAATTATTTGTCAGTTTTAAATTGACGTTTGTGCAACATTCAAATTGATTATTGAATATTTGTCTTTATCAATTGTGATACAAATTTATTAATATTACGTAAGGTAAATGCGAACGCTTCTTTTATTACAAACCACATAAACAGAGTAATATAATATGTACATAAATATATTTAACCCCAGTAATCTAATTTTCTAAATGTTTTTACAATTTTTACCAATATGTTTTAACTTCTGTTTCTAATATAAAAATGATCTAAACTCTTAAAAATATTCTTTTATTTCGTTACTTAATGAAAAAAGAAAACTTTTCATTATTATATTTCCTGTGAAATTCGTAAAGAAAATTATGTTGACCGCAAAAATTCCAAGAAAGGATGAATTTTCTTCAAACTGCTTTATGATCCAAACTACCTAAATAGTACCTAAATGCAAAGGTTTTCTTAAAATGTCAAAATGGTTGAATTCATGCACTTTTCTGTGCATCATCATAGAAATTAAATTTATATTTATAAATCACTGGTCTAATGTGATTAATAGATTAATTAGATGAGGAATATAGAAAAACGCTTAACGAGCATAATCTGAATTTTACTAATACAGTGGAACCTCGGTTAACGAATTGTAAGAAAAATGATTTGCTTAACGAGTGACGATGAGAAAAGAAGTCACGGATTGCGCGCCATCTACATCATTTTTAAAACTTGTGTGTACACAAATTAACCATCTTCGATTTTCAAATATAATTTGTGATTGCTGTTTTTGGCGCAGTCATCGAATCTTTGTTTAATGGTAGCTTTGAATCTTTGTTTTTGAGTACTTGAGTTACAAAAACAAACCACAACATAGCGGTTAAGATTAAAAATATTGTATTTTTGTACTTTTTTTGTTTTCTTTTTCAATTAATTAAAGGCAGACATAGATTTAAATTTGTACATAAATTCGTTTATTTATTTTCAATACATACATTCACCAATATAAATATAAGTTATTAATGAAGATACCCTTCAATTGTTTTCAATATATTTGCTTAGCGAACATGATGATTTTCTCGAAATCTTCGATTCTGTCCTCCAGGTTCTTCATCGAAACGTGCGTAGATTCCAAGTGCTTGCGAAACTTGCAGATTTTGATGACGTCCTCCCACTCCGCCGTGGCCCTGCTCGGGAAATCGCGAGAGACAAACCTTATCCAGAACTTCCAGGTGAAGTGATCCGTGTACGCGTAAAATTTCATTATGTCCCTGCTCAGTTGATGACTCATTTCGGAGAGTTCGTCGTTTTTCACCGTTTTCCTCCACTGCTTCCACTCGTGCCATAGGGTTTTCTTCCTGCTCATGTTGTACAGGGATTTCGATAAAGCGATAATCTCTCGGAGATGAACGTTGTGCTCGTTTTTTACACTAGCAAGGCAATTCTCGACCGCTTCGTCACATTGCGAATACAATCCTTTGATTATTTGGCTTTCCATTTTCGAGCTGAAATAATAATAATTTAATGCGTTGAGCTTGAACGTGTAGTGTAACCTTTGCTAGAGTTGCTCTCGCTTCGAACTGATGCCTACGCCTATGCAGGCAGGGTTACAACGTCTTTTTGAAGGGTCAGAGATTCCTGCTAAAAGTTGGTCATAAAATAAGTACTGGCAATTCTTGGAATTTCGACCGTCCGTAGTAATAAAACGTTCACTTTTATTTGAGCTTGAAATATTCCAAAGTTTTTGGAAATATTTGACATATTTTCAATTTGTTGATTTATTCTAACTAATCAATTAGTTTAAACAAATCTGATATAATTTTCTTCGTGAAATTAATAATATAGTGAAACGCCAATTGTTCAATGGTAATTCTGGAACGTCGAAGGCACGGATAATTGAAAAACACTGTTAATTTATATTATACAAAAACATTGTTCAAGATGATCTGTATTTTTTTTTATTGTTTTTCTTGTAAAATTATTTTTTAAACAGCAATTTGCACTGGTCGTCAAATTGCGACTCTTTTGCCCCTTGAATGCGGCTTTGCTAAAAATAACCACTTTTGTTTCTATTTTAAAAAAACAAAAGTAATCACTAGATACTTGTTTGTCAGTACATCATTCATTAAGAAGCGCAGACATTTCCAGATGAAATTTGCAAATTTATGGAATTGGTGATCAAGATTATCAAATTCATTATAGTTAAAGCTCTTAATTTAAACGTAGAAACGACGAGATGGATCAAGACATCAGATTCATTATAGCTAAAGCTCTTAATTTAAAGTTAAATTTTAGTTGAAATGTTATAAAAAAGGAAACGTTTTAATACGCTTTCCTTATTAACATAAATTTTATTTGCTTATAGACTTGATGTTAGAGAAAATTATTTCATTAGAAAACAAATTATCACATTTTTCTTCAGTTTTTGAAAAATAATCTTTGATTTACTTGCTAAAACATTGCCAAAGAAAATAATTGTGATATTAACAATTACTGTTTGAAAACAACAATTTTCAATATAAGGAAAGCTCTTTTCAACAGGTTTCATCATGAATTCAGAGACTGTTTTCTTCGTTTTATGTTGAAAATGGCAACTTTTAAATACACGTTTTTGTTCTGACATGGAAATGAAAAAAAACACTTGCAATAGTCTCATTAACACGTCATATGATCAGTTAAAAACACTAGCGTTTGCTGATATTTCCTTTTTTATTTATATTCATGCGAACAATTTTTTTCAAACATCAAAAGTAAATTGAGAAGTCGTCTTATTGATGAGAACGTGGAATTATGCTTAAAATTAAAGACAACATACAAACCTGACTTACTCAAACTTTACAAGATTTGTAAATGATCATTGTCATGATTTACTTTTATCAATAGATGAGATCATTATTATGTATGATATCAAGTTTTATTCAGTGTGTCTTTAATTAAGTTTTAAGTCTCAATTAACCACGGTCAATCCGAAACACGGATAATCGACGTTTTACTGTACTTTTCAGTAACTGTTTTCTTCATTACTTGTTTCAAGTAACTTTTTTTTCCATAGTTTAAGTAAATTTGTATATAACAACAAAGATGTAACTTTTTTTCTTTTGAATGCGTTTTGTAAATTAAAAAATAATGCTGAAATATTCTCAAATGCAAATACAAGCAACATTTTATATATTAATCAAATTGTTAATATTGATCTTAAAAAACGTAGCCTCGACAAGATGGATCAAGACATCACTGATGCTTAGATTAGCCAGCACGCCAGATTTTGCAAAATAATTCTCTTTATTCAATCAATTTTCACGAATATTTTTTTATCTGAAATTTTTGTTTAAAGTAATTAATTGTTTAAATAATAGCAACATATAAAGAAATGGAAAATATTACAAATATTTTCAAAGGGAAGAAGTAACAACTTGAATATTTCAACTGTCATAAAAAAAGTGTGAGTTTTATTGCCTAGACAACGGACCGTCCAAAATTCTGAAAATTTGCAATTATAAAACAATTATAGCCAACATTTAGCTGTAATCTCCCACCACTTGGAACAATATTTTCAACCCCGCATATTTTTACACATATAAGGGTAGGTGAATAATCGTCAAAGCATCAGTTCGAAGCGACAACAGCTTTAGGAAGGTTACACGTACAAGCTCCACGCATTTACTACTTATTTCAGCTACAAGAAAAATGGCCAACTCACTTACAAGCTGTATGCAAGACAAGATCGACAGTGAAAAATAAAAATATTGTCTTCGATGTGTTACGAAGCGATTAATAATTGTCTTGGGCCTAATCGTAACGAGTACTCTAAAAACTTGAAGATTGTCGAAGATATAGCGAAATCCGTGCACGATATTATCAAGGAGAGGAACCTTTTGCATGAGTGGATGGCATGGAGGGATAGTATGGAGACAATGTTGATGGATGTTAACGATGAGTACAACATCTCGTACGAACTTCGCCAAATCAGTGATGATCTTGGCTATGATATAAAGACATTCTTTGATCAAGCTGAGTACACCATCTTTAAGAACATGACAACACTTTTGGTTTCTTGCGATTTCTTGACTAATTCTACTAAGATGGAGGTGAAGGACGCTGTCTGTGTATGGGAGTTTCACAAGGAGTTGAATTCCATGTACGATTCGATGAAGCACTTTGAACTTAGAATCAAATGTTTCCTCGATGCTATTTGGGCGGTGGAAGAAATGTGATTTTGTGAAATAATTATAATTTGTATTTTTTAGATACATTTATTATTGTATATATGTATATATTGTAAATATGTAAAATAATAAAATGAATTTGTGTACAAATTTATTTGAAATCTTATTTTGTGTGAATATGAAAACTTAGTGTTGCTTGTGATCAATAAATATTATGCTCGTTAAGCGAGGTTCCACTGTACTTCAAATTTTAATTTAAAACGAAAATTCTATAAACTACAGCAATTAGACTAAATCTCATTCTTCCAGATGATTCCATAGTGAAGATCAAAATTGTGGTAGTTATCGAACTTTTTTCAAGTCGATAAGAATTCTCTGTGAGAAGAAACAATTTTTTTTTCATGGAAACGGAACATTTATTCAGTACGAAGGTTGTGAAATTGTATGATAAGAGAAAAGAAAAAACAAAATTTTTAAACGTCACTTTTGGAATGTCAATTTAAATCAGTTTTTTTCTCTGTTTCTTACATAATATTTAAAAAAAACTAATAATTAGATTAGATTTAGACAAACAATTGATGTAGTAGTTATGTTAGTTACATTATATTTTTTTTGTGAGTAAAATAAACAAAACTAGTCGTTTATCTTGTTATATTATTACATGAATTGATCGTTGTACAAATAAATACATAATCTAGAGAGATTATGTTTACTAAAGCAACTTGAAAACCTATTTGAATACATAGTTAATGTCATTTAGTTTCGTCGCATTCCACGAGAGGGCTCCATCGATCGCGAATCGGATGTTCGAAAAATACAAATATAAACAAAAATCGGAGTTTATATTTCATTAATTATTTATATAATAGTAATTTGATATTTTAAATTGCTTTAATTAATTTAGACTATCATGTGCACCTGAAGGTGTGAATAAAGTTGCGTATTTATGTTTTTTGTTTGTAGTGTTTGTAGATTTGCAGAACTTATAGAATCATCATTTTTTAAAGTTATTTTATTAGACTTTTAAAGTTAAACAAAGAGTTAAAATGTTTTTTTTTTATATACGCGAAATAATAATTCGTTTGCGTCCCCTAGATGGAAGCAAAGTGTTATGTCGTTTCTTATAGGTAACGAAAATATGAGAAATGTATGTGGGGAAGTATATTTATTATTTCATTTAAACATTTAAGACAAGATACAAAGTGCGCGACGTGAAAAGCGCGCGCACCAAACACATTAAAATCTATGCATATACATATATATAAAAATCAAAATATTGAAATTGTACATGTTCAAAATAAATAGAAAGGCGGTAATTTAGGCTTGAGAATTAGGGGGAACGTAACCACCGAAGACGGATTCGAGTTCCTGCGCCACAGCCAGACAGAGGTGATCGTTGAATGGCGCGGAAACCACTTGAACGCCCAAAGGTAAACCGTCGTGGGACAAGCCCAAAGGCACCTGCGTGACGGGGAACTTGAGCAGATTGAAGAGGCTGAAGTAGAGCAGATTGTACGGACGAAGGTAACTCAGGTGATGGTAATGGGCGGTGGTCGGTTGACTCACGAAGAAGAGAACACCGTCGTTGCCAAGTTTGCTCTGCACAAAAAAAGAATGATTAAAATTGATTCTTTCAGGTTTTCAAGAGATTACCAGAAGCTCGCTCTTAATTTTTTCGGTGTTCTCCTCGAACCATTCTGAGGTGGCTTTACGTAACACTTGGGCGTTGATCAGAACCATGACGGAGGAGAAGGACAAATTGCTGCATCTGAAGATGTACTTGAAGAGCTCCCTGTACCAGACGGCCTGTGGAATGGTAAAGAATCGTTTGATAAAGTCGACTTGTAAATTAGAAATAACGAACCCTGTATTTCTTGTTGGTGACGTCGTAGGAGAAGTCGTTCCCTTCGTTGGCCAGAGCTTTCGTGTACAGTCTCGCTGTATACGCGAGCTCTTCAATCTCCAGCTCTTGGGCCTTTCCAGTCATCTTACGGAAATGCTCCACCACGCTGAAGAACAACAATGTTTTGCAATCACGTTTATATTCAAAAAACACACAAGAAGTTACCTTCTGAACGACTTCATGACGTCCGAACGAACCGGCGAAATCAGCAGGCTCGGCATCTCTTCGATGAAATAGTATTTGAGCTTGGCAATATCGACTTTCTTGTCTAACTGCAAACTCCTGCAAGCGTCAGCACCAAGGATCGCTTTCAGGCCGGGGATGAGATCCTCGCAGTACCTGCTGATAGGCCCGGCCACGACCATCGTCCTATCCTGCTCGGATCCATTGCGGAACGTCAAACCTTGAACGTCAAATCGAATCATTTGCATCATTACCCAAAGAAACGTTTACCTTTGGTGGGAGTCACCGTTGGACTGCACTTGTGTCCGAAGAGACCGCACATGTATGCGGGGATTCGAATGGAACCGCCGATATCCGTACCTAACGAAAACATTATTATTATATTTAAGAAGATCGTTAACAAAGATAATACTCACCGATTCCGATCGCAGATCCGCAAGCCGCGATGATGGAACATTCGCCTCCAGAAGATCCTCCCACGTTTCTGGTGGTATCGTACGGGTTGTTGGTGATGCCGAAGACTGGATTATGCGCTTCCGACCAAATACTCAATTGCGGTACATTCGTTAAAGCTGAAACAATAATAATCGTGATCGCAGTGAGTTTCGTTTGAAACAAAAGGTGAACGAATAACCGAGAAAAGTCACAATATTTGAATCGAATCAGTTGGTAACTCTTACTAACAGTGTTTGAGCGTGGTAGAGGGGATGCTCAGTCGTCGATCGGTGTTCAATGCGTCGGTGTTTCGAATATTCAAAACAATCAAATCCATTGAATTATCCCTTGTTTTCTTGAAATCCATCATCGGAGAGAACAATCCAATTAGAATATGGCAATTAACAGTGAGTAATTAATTCATATAAGTCGATTCACATGTAACGTTTAAGGAAATGTTCACTTGCGTTTATAGCTTAATTAATATTTTCATTATATCATTGCGGTTTATTTGATGATCAATGGATTGGTTATAATTAAGTGGGTAATTAATTAGATATTGCGAAGTTTTCAAAATGGCGAAGGGACGCGTCCTCTCTCTCATTTTTGTTTTTGTTTTCCCTAGTGTTTTTGTTTTTATAGAATTTCGTGTTCGCATTGTTGCAACCAAAAAGATTGACGAGTTCGATCGAAGTTGGCACGATCGCGAACTCGTGCCACAGAAGTAGTCAATCGTTTCGCTTTGATTAAAAATTCGTGGATTTTCAACAATTTCCAATGAAATTTATTGCAATCTATTCTCAGGGGTTCAAACTATTTCTCAGGGGTCTATATCGCAAGCCCGACAACCGAAAGACCGTCTATTGAAATCCCGACTGTTTCAAAATCCAGACTATATCAAAATCTCGACAACCATAATCCTGACTCTATCAGAATTTCGACAACCATAATCCCGACTATATCAAAATCCCAACTGTGTCAAAATCTCGACTATATCCAATAACATTATAAAATTATTTCGGAGCGTAGTCACCTTGTGCTACACTTTTATTATTAATAACAATAAATTATTATTATTTTATTTTATTTTGTTGAATTATTCATAATAAACCTTTACATTATGAAATAATCTCAAATACAATTAGAATATTAATTGTTATTATTTATTATTAATAACAATTTAAAAGTCACTACGCACCGAAATAATTTTAAAATATTATTGAATACATTTTCGATATAGTCGGGATTTTGATACAATCGGGATTATGGTTGTCGGTATTTTAATATAGTCGGGATTTTGATATAGTTGGGATTATGGTTGTTGGGATTTCGATACAGTCGGAAATTTGATTGGCGGGATTTCGGTTGTCAGGCTTTGCGATTGACACCGATTTCTCAGCATATTTTTTTTTTTTAAATTTTTGTTTGTTATATGGATGCAAGGTATTATTTATACCAGGTTATTCTGTGCGTTAATCACGTCCTAATGATACACACGGAATGGCAAGACGAAATATACTGAAAAGCAACCAACTGATCACAGTGGATCTAGGGGCTCGCGCGTTCCCTGAAATTCCTTCTTCAATCGGTAGTACACAGTTAATTAGTAATAGAATCACGAGTCGGTAGTGTTAATTGTTTCGAGAATTTTGCGTATTTTTATTGCCAATTTCCCACCTGCATTAAACAGAAAATGTGGCGGATCTTGTTTTTCTTTTATATAATATTCATGACGATACCCCAACATTAATTATGATACGACTCAGTTAAGGATTCTTTCGCAATAATTATTTATATACAAGTTTACTTATCTCATGTTGATAAAGTTTACGATATGCAAAAGCAAAAAAAAAAACTTCCATAGTCATCGACATTTTACAAGTTATGTAAAAGATGATTGAAAATTTAAAAAAATAATTTTTGTAATTGTTTCATTTATCTTCGCAAATAATAATTGATGCGAGTCTTAACATAAACAAAATGATTGTACGAAAAAAAGAAAGATCATATTTATATTGTTTACTATAGAAATACTTCGTTGGGTTTATCGCATTGTAATTAAGTTTTTTTTTAATGTTATTGTATCGCAATCAATTTGTGCTCAATTAATTTACACGAGATTACTTTCAGATTTAAGGAGAATTAATGGTACTCACCTAAGAGAATTGCGCCGGAGTTCTTCATGTTCTCAACGACTTTCGCATCTTCAGTGCCCTTCATGCCCTTCCTGGGAACCAGTCCGAAACTCACGTCCAGTCCTTTGCAAACTGTCGTTCCCTTCGTCGTGAATGGAACACCTACAGTGAGTATAATGTTAAAAGATGTTTGTTTTTTTATACGATTAAAGGGTTGAACGTACCTAAGAAGATCTTCTGTTTGAAATCCCGACCGGCGTACACTCCTTTGGCGATGTTCTCGTCCACCCTCCTCGCTTCTTCGAGCGCAGCATCGAAGCGCTCGTCGATGACGGCGTTCAGGAGCCCGTTGACTTCTTTGATCCTATTGATGTGTGCGAGCACCACCTCTTCCGACTTCAGCTCTCCCTCACGTATCTTCCGAGCCATCTCCGTGGCGCTCAACTCGAGGATCGGATCCTTCGAAGCCGAAACAATTTTCTTCTTGCTGTTGTAATAGAGGCCGTAGAGGAAATCGAGGAAGTAGTCGAAGTACAGGTGGATGAAGGCCAACATACTCGGTATGATTGAGCTCATGATGCCACCGAACGCCTGAAACAGCGACTCACAGATGATATACTGTTGCCGCGAAGCTCCCGACTATTGCACTCGGAAACCAGTTTCCGCAATTTAATTAACTTTACGTGTACGTCTATTAATTACGCAAAGAAATCAAAATAATTAAACAGAACAAGACGAGAGCAATTAACGACGCGCGTTCTGAATGCACTCAACGACTGAACCCGCGCAACACGTTATAGTGTACACACTAATTACAGAAAACGCAAGTACTAGGCCTTATCTCTGGTGTACTTTAAACTTGCGGAAAAAAATCGCGCGGCATCCAAGCGCGACCGCAGCAGTTCGCAATCGCGTCGAAAGCCGCGTCGTCCGCTCTTTTTATACCCAAGAACTGGTTAGACGGAAAATATTTGCCTAACAAATAACCGGTAATCCGTTCTTTTTCGCCGCAGTCCTTATTCTTTCCGTTAACACAAACAACGGTTACGCTATGTTTGCACTTCTACGTTTCGGTCATAAATTTAAGTGACACCTCCGTCATATCGAGGATTAGCCTCTAAGCTCAGATGCAATTTACACAAAGTGCATCAATTCATAAAGTCTGGGTCGAGCAAGACAATTGCAGCCCAAATAAAAATCTAGGAGCTAATTTAAACTGGATATTGTTTACGAAAACTATCTCGAATAATAGAACGAATTCCGAGAAAAGCCTTCAATTTTTTTTTAATCCATTAATCCCCTCAAATCTTACGACTTAGTCAATGGAATATAATTAAAATGCAATGTTTACATACATAATTGGCAAGGTTATATAAATTTAGATGCAAAAAGTTAATCATTCTCTGCGAATTAATTGGTATATATCAGGGGTAGCCAAACTGGGCTTGCAACAAAACACTAATATAATATATATTTTATATTATGATTGAGATTTAAAAAAAATATTATACCATGCGGCTCACGCTGCAAAAAGTCTGGCCAATTTATTATATAATCGATTCTGTGACATCAATTTCAATCAAAAACAAATAGAAAAAAGTATATAATTCAATATTTGAAATAGTTGTATAATTCCAATCAAGGGAGCATTTCAATATTGTTAATTATTAGGCTATATAAGAATGACATTTCACGTTTATTGACATTTATTTTATTTGTTAACTAAAATCATTCGACGCCTTCTATATTTATTAAAGAAGCAAATCACTTAACAGTGTTTAATTGAGTATTTCGGCCTTGAATTTAATTAAATTTTCCTTTATCTTACATGCAATTTCAATTTACCATTACACGATTTGTCATTTGTTATTCTTGTGATATCAATGAATAGTTTTATATGAATTTACATTACAAACGGCTATATTTAGTTTAAAATGTACATTTTTTTTAACTAACAAATTTAATATTACGTGAAAAATTAATTTAAAATATAAACGTCAAAAAGACATTGACATACGTAATATCATTTGTCAATAATTTTATAGAATTTGACAGGTATATTTTAGTATAAATTCATAATACTTATAATGTTATTCACGGGCTATCAATGAATAGTTTTATATTAATTTGAATTGCACAAATGTACTCTTTTCTTAGATCTAATGAACGTAATAATACGTGAAAAATTAATTAACTTAACAATCGGGTTAATTTAAAATATAAACGTCAAAATGACATTGACATACATAATGTCATTTGTCAATAATTTTATTGAATTTGACAGGTAGACATATAAACGTATATTTTAGTATAAATACATAATACTTATAATGTTATTCTCGGGCTTTCAATGAATAGTTTTATATTAATTTTAATTGCACAATGTACTCTTTTCTTAGAACTAATGAAAGTAATAATACGTGAAAATTTAATTAACTTAACAATTGGGTTAATTTAAAATATAACGTCAAAATGACATTGACATACGTAATGTCATTTGTCAATAATTTTATTGAATTTGACAGGTAGACATATAAACGTATATTTTAGTATAAATACATAATACTTATAATGTTATTCTCGGGCTATCAATGAATAGTTTTATATTAATTTGAATTGCACAAATGTACTTTTTTCTTAGAACTAATGAATGTAATAATACGTGAAAAAATAATTAACTTAACAATCGGGTTAATTTAAAATATAAACGTCAAAATGACATTGACATACGTAATGTCATTTGTCAATAATTTTATTGAATTTGACAGGTAGACATATAAACATATATTTTAGTATAATACATAATACTTATAATGTTATTCTCGGGCTATCAATGAATAATTTTATATTAATTTGAATTGCACAATGTACTTTTTTCTTAGAACTGATGAATGTAATAATATGTCAAAATTTAATTAACTTAACAATCGGGTTAATCAAAATGACATTGACATACGAAACGTCACTTGTCAATAATGTTATTGAATGTGACAGGTTGATATAGATCGGAAATAGTAGGTGTTATCAACGTATATTTTAATATAATACTTATAAATAGACGAAATGTGCGTGACATATGATAATAGCTTAAAAAAATTATATAATCTACGATAATTGTGATTTTGAAGTACAAAGTAAACGATTCATAAACTTTTGATGATATAAGCGATTATAAATATGGAGCAGTGATTAATGCAAAACTTTCCATCGAAATCCCAACGTAATTATTATACCAAAAAAAAATGTAGAATACAAGGAAATAATTATGTTTGCACTTTAAAGTTTGCACGATAAAGTTTCCAATTGAGAAATTATCGGTTTTACCCTGTTTCCAAATGAAATGGGATTTTTTCAAATAATTATGGAAATATATGTGAACTGTGATAATCGAATAAGTTTAGAATTATTGTAAAACTAGTGTACTAAATATTGAAAAGTCGTCAGAATGACGAAGCAATAATCGACGGAAAATGAACGTGAAACTTCTGATATAAAAAAAAATGTGGACTGGTTTACAATGAAAATTAAAACAAATTTATCGACCGAGACAGACGGTAAACAATCGCGTCGAGTTAATTATGCACAGTTTATGAAAATCACCATTCCTTATAATTACGAAACGTGTTTAAGTTTCAGTTTGAATTTTCCAAATGTATCGCAAATTGCACAAAATATAGAAAAAAAAACAAGATTGGGATTGGAAAGAAAAAAACAAGTATTTGCAATTTCTATAAATAATTTTTAACATTACTCAACTTTGGAATTTGTGTGTTGCTTCAAAACAGAAAAACAAAGGGATTTATAATGGATTTGTTTCATTTGCATATAAATTAACTAAAACATTTGCTTAAAATAAAATGATTTTAATTTCAACGAAAATGTTAAAGTTAACATAACATTGAGTTTAAATATCGTGTTGGGATATCTATTAATAAATATTGAAAAGTGTAGAAAGCATGGCCTTCGCTCGTCTGCGAATGTACTTTGCCAAGAAACAAAAAAAAAACGAAGAAAACATGCGACAGTCGACTACGATCAAATGTTTTCAAACAGCGTGGTTTATTGGAAATTTAAAGAATTACTTTAGCATTAACATTGATCGATTATCGAAACGAATGAATTATTGGCAATAAGTGTGTATTGATAAATTTGAGGCTGAATTAGACGCTTAGATATAGATGATCTTGATTAATTGAATTTAATTACCCGTTGCTTCCGCCTTCTCTTGACACTTCGCAGATGACACATGTCTAATAGTTTGAGGGAACGTAACGGTCAGTCGTAAGGCGACTGGATTTGTATCATCAAATTTGCGAATTGTGCAAGTAACGGGTTATTAACATAAAGTCAATGTCATGCGTTGTAGACGAACGGTCTGCAGTTCGTGGTCAGCTCACGACTTACCTCATGATTGAGCTGTCCAGCCCAGTGAACGGGCCCAACTTGCGCCATCGTGAAGCACCGCAATTCGCAGGAATACTTCGCACTAAATATACCGAAATCATGCTGCACAAAAATGCGCTTTTTTTTTCTTTTAATATTTCGCTTCCCTTTTTTTATTTCGTATTGTAAATCCGCGCTTTTTCCGTTCAGCAAATGAAGATTCGATTCGACGTGAATATAATCGATATTCGGATAATCCGCGTTGAAGTTAGCCGAAAATATTCCACCATCTCCTTGGTTACGATACAATTATTAGATTTTTGTTTTCGGTTGCTCGGAAATAAGTGTTTACGTAAATTTGGCAATAAATAGTTTATTTATTTTTTAATATGTATATATTATAAAGTTATCCTCCACAAACAATCGTTGACACCAAATACAAAATAATTCAATTTAAAAAGATATATAAACAAAACTATATAGAAAATCACGCGGAGACAAGAGCGAACACCAGATCCAGCAATATAAAAGCGAAAAAGTATATCGCCATGTCCTTGTGCACGTTAATAATTAAATTTAGTAAACGCAGCAGCGGCTGCACCTTCTTCCCGTTAATGTTGTTCATAAGCATTATCAGATTCATCGTAACGTTTTCCTCGTATTTGGGCCGCGCCAGCAGCAAAACGTAGCATTCGTACCCTAACAACGGCAGGAATATCTTGTCGATGTGCAGGTAGGACAAGTCGATTCCCACGAAGAACTCGAACTTGCTGAAGATCAGATTCAAATAGCGTACGCTCAAACCCAGCAGGAGCACAATGAACGTCCCGTAAAAAGATTTTCCGCAATCTGACACTTCGTCTATTCCAACAGTCTCCTCCAGATGAACGACCTCCTTCTCCAGGTCCAAATCTATGAACTTCTTCACTTCGTTCTCGACACGCACGTACTCGATCTCCACATTATTAACGACAGGTTCCTCAGCGTAGTTGATGCAGGCTGGATGATCCGGTTCTAAAATTAAGATCGACCTTTGAAAACTATTCAAAAACAGAACAGTTGAAAACTTACTTGTTTTGCATTGGACATCTGGTGCGACGATCTCCGTCTCGTCAGTTTCCGATTCTATAAATATAGAAGGCGTCGAATGATTTTTCGTTCTAGGTTATGTTGTTTTGCGAGAAATATTTACCGATTTTTCTGTGAATGTTGGAGATCCTCTTCAAACGGTTGTCCGCGTTCTCCAGAATCCTTCTCCTCCTCGCCTCCCGTCTCGCCGCGGCATCGCTCATACTTACTTCACAACAACAACAACAACAAAAAACACACAGCTGATACGAACCCCAACAAACAGTTTCAACGAACGCTTATATAATCGTTCTTTCAGAAATGCAACAGGAGTTGCATAAAATTTTAATATTAATTTTCGCCACAAAGTTTTCTTCATTTAAAACACT